TACAAGTGGCGCCCGAGCAGGGACCCCAAAGAAGTGTGAGGTTAGATCCGACCAAGTAGGGAAGAGAGCGTGGACCTACGATGCTACGAACGAGCTGGATACGTGTGCTGCGGAAGGAAGAGCTCAGCACGGTGCTGCGCGAGTTCGACATCGAGGAGACCGGCACCGTGGAGGCGTTGCGGGTGCGGCTGGCAACTTTCGTGAAGTCGGCCCAAGAAGAGTACCGACCCCGCCTGGAAGAACTAGCGGCGTATTACGAGAACATGTCGTCGCGTACCGCGACGGCAGGTCAGTTGAGCCCGGTGCCCGGCGGACGGCTGGGAGTCCCGAAACAAGAGGACGTACCGGAGGGACTGCTCGTCGTGACAGAGGCGAACACGACACCGCTAACTCCTGCGACAGTGCCGACCATCTCGGTAGCGGTCGCGGCCTCGCCGGGAGCTACCACAACCGAGCCCACGGCAGCCTCAGCGACGCCAACAGTGGCTCCAGTGCTCTCAACGGCGGACCTGACACAAGCGATTGCCGAGTTGGCTCAGTACACCCACCGGTTGGCCCAGGCTATGGAGGATGGTTTCCAGAAGCTGTCGAGCCAGGTCTGCGGTTCCACCGCGCCTGCTGGTAATGTGCCTGACGAAGATGACCCAACAGCACCGACTCCAGCGTCACCGCTCGCAAGCGCGCAGGCGGTGGCAGAACCACAGGCGCCAACATCAGCCGTGTCAAACGCATCCGCGGCTGGTTCGGCCCACTCGACAATGTCACGAGCGGAGCGGAGAGCCCTGAGCACGGAGGTGGCACAGTGGGGAGTACGTTTCGACGGCAGCGGGGACCCAAGAACGTTCCTCCGGGACCTGGAAGATAAGGCAGAGATGAGGAACGTGCGATTAGATGAGTTGGTGACCGTGTTACCGGAAGTCCTGGTTGGCGAGGCGAAGGAGTGGGAGTGGTCAAGGCGCAATTTGGCACAACGGTGGGCCGAGTTCCGCCAAGACCTACTAAAAGAATATCCAGCGGGTCCCCACATAGAAGAGCGCCGGCGGGAAGCATACAGCCGGGTCCAGGGCGCATCAGAGGGCCCTATCGAGTATGTCCGAGCGATGCAACGACTGATGCGCGGCGCGGAGATGACTGCAGAGGAGCAGCTGAGACTTGTCCACGCCAACGGGCTACCAGAAATACGCGCCAATCTCCGCCTGGCAGGCGAAGAAGTAAGCTCACTCGATGGGTACGTACAGGCGGCACAGGGCGTGCGCCAAGGAATCCTAGCACGGTCACAGGCGGCCGGCAATGATGAGACGAAGGCCACACACCCTACGCCGTTCCCACAGCCGGTGGCGGTTGGCCCAGCGGACACGCATCGTCGCCCACCCATCTGCAGACGTTGCGGGATGGGAGGGCACAGTATGGACGCGTGCCCAAACTCTCAACAGCTCTACTGTTGGGACTGTGGTAAGATGGGGGTGCGTGCGAACGAATGCTGCCGACGCGCGACGGGAAACGCCAGGGGGGGCTCGTCCCACATCAACAGTCGGCGAGCCCACGCAGGCAGATTCCAATTAACAACGACACGCAGGGCAGCGGCCGCGCTACCAGTAGACTGCGATGGTGTACTGGTAGAGGCGGTCGTGGACACCGGAGCGACACGCAGCTTCGCGAGTCCGATGCTGGCGCAACGCCTGCGGGCGCCAGACGGAGGAAATGTACGGTCCGTGAGCGTGACTGTGTCCATGGCTGACGGGACACAGAAGACGGTCCGTGAAGAAACGAAGGCGACGGTCACGGTGGGCGACAGTCGCGTAGTACTGCCGCTGCTCACACTCCCCGGATGCATAGATGAGCTCACATTGGGACTGGATTATGTCCAAATGGCCAACGGGGCGGTGACTGTGGGCGGCCAAACTGTAGAATTGCGAACAAACGATCCACGGCCACGCAGACGGCGGAGGCGAAATCGCAGAGCCCGACATGCAGCCTTGGTGACAAGCGAGGATCAGGCACGCCAGTACAATCTGCGGAGACGCGAGTGGCGACCCAGACTGGGCGACGAGGTGCTCGTGCGACAACATCACCTGTCCAACGCAGCCGAGCAGTTTGCGGCCAAGCTGGCGCCTCGCTTCGATGGCCCATTCACGGTACGAGCATTCATATCCCCAGTTATAGTGCGTGTGCGACCGGTGGCGGGCGGCAGAAGTAGAACGGCACATGTGCGGGATCTAAAAGCGGTGAACGCAGAAGACAGCGAAGCCGACGAAGGCAGCGACGACAGAGGCAGCGTTAGTATGGTCACCAGGGCCACGCCACCGACAGCTTCACAGCAGCCACAGCAGGCCACTCCTCAGCGTCAACAAAAGCAGCCACAGCGGCAGTCCGGGCAACAACATCGGCCATATCAACGAGCACGACGACAGCAGCCACGGTCACGACAGCCACGACAGCAGCAACAGCAACCAGGGCTTCGTAGCAGCCACACCGTCAACAGCAACGGCAACACCACCGGCGTCCACCAAAGCGGGAACAGCAAAGCTGCCGTTCTAGCCGAAGAAGATGCCCATGTAAGCCTACAAACATAATTAAACGAAGTTTGTTGTTACGTTTCAGGCCATGTGAAGCGATGTAGATTACCGCACCGCCTGAGATACACACTCAGCGCCGAATATACCAGAGACGCAGCAGATGGGCGGTATGCTAACTCCATTGGCGATCCCTAAACAGCTACGGCAACAGCAGCCAGTCCCACAGCAGCCACTACAGCACCCATTACAGAATCCAGAGGATGACGACACGTCAGCACCACGCGGCGGAAATGCAGAAAAACAACAATGCGACCGAATGACAGAGCGAACAGCTGACGGTGAAGGTACAGGTGGCGTTGACAGGTGGCCAAGCGCGAGGGGTGGCAGCGCTGCCACCCAGCTGCTACACATCTGCCGTTCGATTATGGCGCGGTGAAGGAAAATTCGAAAACACTACCGATCGGGCCGTTCGACCCCTTGGGGAAAGGGGGAGGTGTAACGACGCGTTGCACAGCAACCAGCTGTGCGTCATTACGATGCCAAGTAGTTGTAAATTAATAAGTAATTGTAAGAATAGTAAGCCATGAAGGCGAGTAATTTTAAGTTCGGTTTAGGTTAGTTCTCTTCTGGCTCAGGCCCAACGCGCACTGAAGCGCTCCGTATGATTTGTTACAATTAAAGAAACACGTGGAGAAGTTTGGGCATACCGCCCTCTTTTATTTGGTGGACACCTCGGCACTTTGGGGTGCCTAATTTATTTCAGCATACTCTGGCCGGCGAGCATACCCGCGGCAGAGTAACAACGTTACAACTAACATTCTTCTTAATTGACCGATCTTGATAAAGCTTAGCATACGAAAACTTAATCACTACAAAAACTCAAATCCGTACTTTCTCGGACTTAGGACAATCTGGATACCAAGTTTGGTTATTCTAGCACTTATGCTTTCAGAGATCCTTGCATTCCTTGCAGACGGACAGACTAACATGGCTAAATCGACTCGTCTTGTCATCCTGATCAAGAATACTTTGTGGGGTCTGCTCTAATTTTCAAAATTGCGCACCTACACTATGATTGCATAGTTGAGCCCACATTGCAGCTTCCTAGCGCTTGCCGTATGGTCTGTGGGTTTGACGCGCTTTCCTTTTGTGCCCCAACATTTGTATACCCTGTACCCGTAGGGGAAAAAGGGTATATTAGGTTTGTGCAAAGTATGTAACATGCAGAAGGAAGCATCTCCGACTCCATAAAGTATATATATTCTGAATCAGCATGACGAGAGAAATCGATCTAGACATGTCCGTCCGTCCGTCAGTCCGCCGTCTGGATGAGCGCAAGGATCTCAGAAACTATATTAGCTGGAACAACCAAAGTTGGTATCCAGATTCTCCTAGGTCCGAGAAAGAACGAGTTTATTTTATTTTTTGGAATAATATTTCATTAATACATAGTAATCTACTTTTGTTTCAAATTTCATCCAAATTGGTTAATTCTAAGAAAAGTTATTAGCTAAACAATTTCACTCCGGTACTACTCCCACAACCTGCAACATCAAGTTCGCTCTTCTTCTTCCTTTTGGTACTGCTAGAGGCGCAGGGTACAGGGTATTTCACTATCGAGCTTGCTCGACTGTAGCGTTCTCTCTTGTTATAAGTATTAATATTATACAAGTATCTTCCTTTGTGAAACTCATAAGCAGTTTTCAAATCTTATGTGAAATGCCTATGTTGATTACACGGACCTTAGGAGATGCTTCCTTCTACATTTTACATACTTTGCACAAACCTTTTTACCCTACGAGTACAGGGTATAAAAACGAGTTCACTTATCATATGTGCTAAATATTTTGAAAGGGTATACTAGTTTTGTGCGAATGTATGTAACAGGCAGAAAGAGGCGTGGCAGACCCCACAAAGTATATATATTTTTGATCAGGATGACAAAACGAGTCGATATAGCCATGTCCGTCTGTCTGTATGAGCGCAAGGATCTCAGTAAGTACAAGAGCTAGGATAACCAAAATTGGTATCAAGTTTCCTATAAGCCCTAGGCAGATCGAGTTTGTTTATTTTTTCTCATACACCCCCCACTCCCCCGCAATTCGTGTTTTTTCTTATAACTTCCGTAATTCTCGGAATTTTGAAAGAAAAGAAAGTTATAGCCATAAGTAAAATCGCTGCTTATGCGCTGCCTGCAGCTCTGTCGGCAGCGCTTTGGTTCAACTTTGTGCTGCATACATACACGCATATAAACACGCATAGGTACGTGATGTAAATGTATGCTGTTAAAACTTAACATAAACATGTATTCTAATTTAATTTAATTAATTAATTTTAATTAATTAATTCATTCATTTTTTTTTTAAATATAATTTTTTTTTAAATTTTTTTTTTTTAATTTTTCCTTTTTGTGGAGAGTACAGGGTATTTTACTGTCGGGCTACTGATTAATACTTGTATATAAAAATTTACAAAAATACTTACCATGCAGCAAGCAGGAACACGTACAGTACCGGGCCAGTTATAATAAAGGAAACACAATTTGTAGCTAAGTTTTTGAATGATATCAGGGCCATAATTTGCATCGTCCCGTAATATAACAAAATGCGTGGGGCTTACAGTTCCCTGCCCCACATTTTGTGAAACCAGGAAAAAATCGAACATTTTTCTTCGTGTTATATATTTATCGACCACTGTGCCTGGTAATGGGTTGTCAAAATTCAATTTATTTTCCTGAAAAATTGAATTTAGTTTTATAGTATGAAGAACTTATTTAATTTATATATATACATATAAAACAATTTCTCATGACTGACAAGTGATCAACACAGCACAAACTGTAATAACTAGAAAGCTGAAATTTGAACTCAAGTATCTTTTTACGGTGAAGATTGCGGCCAGGCATAGCTCAATGAGCTAAATGGAATCATCGCTTGGAACATGAACTTAAAAAATTACTTGCAGTGCAAAATGCTATGTTGTGTTATGGCCAGATCTGCAGACCGGTTCCGCAGCATAATAAAAACATGAAAGGAATGCTAAAGTCGAGTAGGCTCAACTCTTAAATACCATGTACCTCCTACGACACTGGGAAAAAATGAAAAAAATTAATAATTAATTTAAATAAAATTATATTAATTAAATTATTTAATTCAATTAAATACAAATTATTAAATACATATATACAAGAGTGGAGACATGTTCATGTTAAATTTCAACAGGACTTAGCAAATAGCAAATTACTTTGGTACGATTCGAGAACTAGGCCCTAAAGTACAATAAAAACTATGTATGGTTATATGTGCATACATATATATGTACATACATATATATTTTTTTGTATGTATATAGTATGATAGGGATAATTCGAGGCAAGTAATTTCTAGAATTAAAAGCTATATAATTTGGCAACTTTATTTGGTCAACTTATGCAACTGTACAACATTTACAGCTGCGGGCAGCGCTGCGGGTAGAGCATGGGCAGCGATTTTATTTATCGCTATAACAAAATTCTTCAGAATTGACCAATCAAATTGGCATACGGACATAAATTCATAAACTGGATGTATATGCAAAATTTGAGTTCAAAATTCCAAGAATTACGGGAGTTATGAAAAACTCGAATTCCGGGGGAGTGGGGGGTGAATCAGAATTTTAAAAAAAAAAACGACCTGCCTAGGGCTCAGGGGAACCTGGATACCAAGTTTGGTAATTATGGCTTTTATAATTTCTGAGATCCTTGCGTTCATCCAGACAGACGAACAGAAGGACGGACATGTCTACATCGACTTATCTAGTCATGCTGATCAAGAATATATATACTTTACATAATTTTCACAAACCTAATATGCCCTTTTTACCCTACGGGTACAGGGTAAAAAAACACAAAAAAAAAACAGGGACCGCAAATAATGATTATTTTGTTTTTTTTTTTAAACGAAAAAATCATTCACTTATAGTAACTTTTGGAAAGCGAGGAATTTACTGACATCCTTTTTAAGGATTATCTATGTATTTTCACTATGATTTATAAATTTTAATTTGTATTCATTCGCTCACAATTTAATGATTAATTTTTAGTTTTACTTTAATAATTAACCAATAATCATTATTGATGAGCAAAAAAATAAAACTTATAAAATAACTAGCAGGTATTGCCCGTCTTAACCCGGCTCAATATAATGTTTCCAATTGTATTTATTTTGTGTGTGCATAACCTACCCATATGTTTTCACCTTATAAGTTACCAGTAGGAAGGCATTTTAGGTATTTAAATGAACATTTTCTGTTCTTGACAAAAAATTGTTCAGTAGTCCGTTACATTTTTGTTCTTGCCAAACTATTTCGTTAAACGAACATGACCACTATAACTAATATTTTTTAAAGTTCGTTTTCCCCCCTTTGGAGCTAGAATTTTCCAAAAGCCTTTCTTAGTGTGCTCCTACACTATGATGGATACTATGAAAGGATACTTGAGTCCAAATTTCATCTTTTACCGTTTGGGCTGTGCGTTGATCACCAATTAGTCAGGACAAACTGTTTTATATATAGAGATAACGCAACGTTTTATGATAGACGATTTGCAAAAAATGGGAATAATTATAAGGGTATATCCTAATTTTAAATTCACATTTGAGTCTTTTCGTGCCATATTGAGTCACGCACAACCTCGGAATATGAAACACGGCACTCGTGTCAATGCCGTGCAGCGATGAGTCACGATCAAAAAGCACTGACAATTCTCATCTCAATTTGCTAGAGTAAAACTTTCGATAGTTGAAGCCACCGATACCATCAAAATATCGAAGTTTGAATGCAATAAGCAGAATATTTAAATAATAAAATCTAATTATTTATTGAGATCAATAAGAACAAATCATATACATACATACATCTGCCCGCAATGCGAAGCAGAATATGCGTAGCTCCGTTATTCGGTTTCTGCTTTACTATCGCTTACGCAGTCGTTGCTTAGCGACGGTAACTGTAAACTTTTGGCGTTTTGCCTTTGCAATTAACATTAAATGGTCAAAACGAAAGAAGATGTGCGAGCCAACAACTTAAAGTTGTTGTTGTTGTTTTGTATGTACATGCTACATACATATACAGGCATACATGCATATGCATGTACATATGTATGTATGCATGGGCACACATAGACACGAACTGTTGCTTGTTGTATGTATGTGTGAGTGTGTGTATGTGATGTCCCCAACTATTTGATATTTGATATATGGCAAGTAAAAAACATATTGCTATATTTTAATCGTTGAATGCCAATTTGTTGATATAATGTTGATTACATTACCCAAATTTGAAATCGATCGGACAAAATTTATAACACAAACTATTCATTTGAAAAAGTGAATAAATATTAAAACCCCAATAATAAAATCAAATGCGATATATCGAAAATATCGATACTTGTGTTGATATATCGTAATACATGTCGAATACAAATACATCGAAAAACATCGTTTGAGAGTTATTGATTATAATACTGTATTCGATTATTCACTGTACACATATGTACATAAATACATACAAATGTATTTGCATGTGTACGGTAACTTTTGGCATTTTTCGTATGCAATTAACAGCCGTAAATTATCAAAACGAAAGAACAATAACTTGTTGTTGTTGTTTTACAAATTTTGATTTGAAAACATAGAACACTATTTATTACAATTAAACAACAGTGTTCGATGGCCCACTGCATACATACAAACCTATATATGTATATAAGAATGTATGTACGTACATACATACTTATTGATGTACATATGTACATACTATACATACAGACGTATGTACATATGTATGTACGTATGTAATACATATGGTGCTGGTGTAATTCATAATGCGAAATTCTTTCTAAGGGGAGCAATGTCCCCCCTGCCCAACCTGCGTACGCCCTTGTAGTCCGTTGTCCTAAAATCCCTTATGCCAAATGTACTAAACAAAGAAAAAATAACATAAAAATGTTTATGTTATAATGTTAATAATTTTTAATTAATTAACATTTCTTGCCCTGTCAGTGCAAGACGAATGTACTTTTATTCATATGTATGTATGTATATATGTACATACATTTGTACAAATGAACATTCACACATTAGTGTCTCACATTTTGCTTTGGCTACTTCAACCGTTTGCACGCAACTACACGAACAGCTGCTTGTATATATGTATGTGTGTGTGTATGTATACTTAGTTGTCCCCAACTGTTTGATATTTTGTATTGTTTGTTCTGCCTGCATTTGTAAAATGCATATTTTAAAAATCGTTAAATGCAAAGTTGTAATTTTAGTTACGTAGATTATATTACCCAAATTTGAAATCGATCGGACAAAATTTATAACACAAACTTTTCATTTGAAATAGTGAATAAATATTAAAACCCCAATAATTCAAGCTCCAACACAAATTTCGAAAAACCGAGTATGCAGTTTTGTTTGTATTCTTTTATAGATTATAAAAACCAAATTTAAAGTTGATCGATTCAGAAATGCAGAATTTTCAAACAAACTTTGGAGCTACTTTTCCCCCCTTTGGAGCTCGAATCCCTTCTTAGTGCGCATCTACACCATGATAGGATACTTGAGCCCAAATTTCAGTTTCCTAGCTTTTACCGTTTGGGCTGTGGGGTGTTGATTGTGTTTCAATTTTTCCACGGAAAACCCCCCCTTTTTCATGCCCCAGGAAAAATGGTGAAAAACCAAGTATACAGTTTTTCTTGTATTCTTTTTGAGAGTATACAAACTAAGTTTGAAGTTAATTGGATGAAAATTGTAGATTTTTCATACAAACGTTGGAGCCCGTTTTCCCCCCTTTGGCGTTCGAATTTTCCAAAACCGCTTCTTAGTGCTCACCTACACCACTGAAGACAACATGTGTCCAATTTTCAGCCTCCTAGCTTTAACCGTTTGGGCTGTGCGTTGATTGCACATAGCTTTTCGTTTACCGAATTTTCCACCGGAAAATCATTATTATTCAGGCCGCAGGAAAAATATTGAAAATCCAAGTATACAGTTTTTTTTGTATTCTTTGTGAGAGTATACAAACTAAGTTTGAAGTTAATCGGATAAAAATTGTAGATTTTTCATACAAACGTTGGAGCTCGTTTTCCCCCCTTTGGAGCTCGAATTTTCCGAAACCCCTTCTTAGTGCTCACTTTCACTATAAGAGGGATCTTGTGTCCAAATTTCAGCTTCCTAGCTCTTACCGTTTGGGCTGTGCGTTGATTGCCAATCAGTCAGTCAGTCAGTCAGTCAGTCAGGACAAACTGTTTTATATATATAGAGATGATTATTCTTTGAGTTTAATTTTTTTGATCAAAAATAAAACTCAAGCTGAAATTTAGTCTGTTTCATAAGGATTAAGGACAAAATTTATATATATCCTTAATCAGTGAGTCAAGGCGAACATTTGTTTTTAATTAATTTTTAATTAACTAAATAATTAATTCATTAATTAATTATTTTTTAAATCACAAATGCGAATGTATGTTTGGAGCTCCATTCCTCCTCAAAATGCCACAATCCCCGTGGACTCCATGCCAAAGCGAAGGCTATGCTATCAAATACTAATATTATTTAGAAAGTTCTAATATGAGTAATTAAAACAAGAGAGAACGCTACAGTCGAGCAAGCCCGACAGTGTAATACCCTGTACCCAGGTAAACTTCCGTCACTGAGTTATATGCGCCCAAAGCAGCAGCAAAAAGAGGAAGA